TGACTAGCTCGTTAATCAAAGATGGTTATGTTTCCTAACCATAGACAAAGAGTTGTTATTTGATTAACGGGATCACATCATTAGGAGAATGGTGTGATTGACTTGACCCATTCCGTTAGCTTAGCACTCGATCGTTTAGTATGTTGCTATTGCTTTCTTCATGACTTATACATGTTCCTATGACTATGAGATTATGCAACTCCCGTTTACCGGAGGAACACTTTGTGTGCTACCAAACGTCACAACATAACTGGGTGATTATAAAGGAGCTCTACAGGTGTCTCCAAAGGTACATGTTGGGTTGGCGTATTTCGAGATTAGAATTTGTCACTCCGATTGTCGGAGAGGTATCTTTGGGCCCTCTCGGTAATGCACATCACCTAAGCCTTGCAACCAATGCAACTAAATGAGTTAGTTGCGAGATGATGTATTACGGAACGAGTAAAGAGACTTGCCGGTAACGAGATTGAACTAGGTATTGATATACCGACGATCGAATCTCGGGCAAGTAACATACCGATGACAAAGGGAACAACGTATGTTGTTATGCGGTCTGACCGATAAAGATCTTCGTAGAATATGTGGGAGCCAATATGAGCATCCAGGTTCCGCTATTGGTTATTGACCTGAGACATGTCTCGGTCATGTCTACATTGTTCTCAAACCCGTAGGGTCCGCACGCTTAAGGTTTCGATGACAGTTATATTATGAGTTTATGAGTTTTGATGTACCGAAGTTGGTTCGGAGTCCCGGATATGATCGCGGACATAATGAGGAGTCTCGAAATGGTCGAGACATAAAGATTGATATATTGGACGGCTATATTCGGACACCGGAAGTGTTCCGGGGAAGTTTCGGATAAAACCGGAGTACCGGGGGGTTACTGGAACCCCCGGGGGGGTTAATGGGCCTCATGGGCCTAAAGTGGAGAAGAGGAGGGGCTGCCAGGGCAGGCCGCGCACCCCCTCTCCCCCTAGTCCAAATTGGACAAGGAGGGAGGGGCGGCGCCCCCCCTTCCTTCCTCTCCTCTCTCCCTTCCTTCCCCCTCTCCTACTTGGACAAGGAAAGGGAGGGGAGTCCTACTCCCGGTAGGAGTAGGACTCCTCCTGCGCGCCTCCTACTAGGGCCGGCCGCACCCCCCTTGGCTCCTTTATATACGGAGGCAGGGGGCACCCCTAGACACACAAGTTGATCCACGTGATCGTTTTCTTAACCGTGTGCGGTGCCCCCTTTCACCATAATCCTCGATAATACTGTAGTGGTGCTTAGGCGAAGCCCTGCGACAGTTGAACATCAAGATCGTCACCACGCCGTCGTGCTGACGGAACTCTTCCCCGACACTTTGCTGGATCGGAGTCCGGGGATCGTCATTGAGCTGAACGTGTGCTGAAACTCGGAGGTGCCATAGTTTCGGTGCTTGGATCGGTCGGATCGTGAAGACGTACGACTACATCAACCGCGTTGATATAACGCTTCCGCTGTCGGTCTACAAGGGTACGTAGATCACACTCTCCCCTCGTTGCTATGCATCACTATGATCTTGCGTGTGCGTAGGATTTTTTTTGAAATTACTACGTTCCCCAACATAAGACGCCACCAAGCAGAGCCTTTGTGGCTGGCATTGGTGTCGGGGCTTTCTTGTCCACCTATAGTTTCGATCTGCAATGGCTTGGGACGCGGCGGTGTGGCACTCGGTGCGGCAATGGTTGTGAGGTGACAGTTGGTACACGAGGTTGGGCAACAAGCAGGCCGGGCCCAAACCTAGTAGTCCACTGGCAACAGGAGCCACATTGGCGGCCGGGAGTTCGCCGTCACGCAATTGCGACTTAGGTTTTCGATCATTGATGATGACGATTGTGGCTCCCATAGTGGTACGAGCTACATTCTTCGATGTCTCTTGTAACACAACATTGTTCCTATTAGTTCAACAATGTGGTGACCTCTCTGCCCGAAGGCATGTGCAATATCGTGCATGGTTCTAGCCAAGAGCACACCTATCAGCAAATTTTTTAGCACGACCCCCTAGTTCCCCCGTCTCCTGCAAGCACGGTTTGCTAGGTCATGATAAGTTATCAAGATCAAAATTGGATCATGCACCCGGTGGTCCTTATGTGTTCCTCAACATCGTATCCGAGATTTTAATAGATAACTTAGAAATGGATGGCTGCCCTGGGATGTTTGGTATCCGGTGTGAATCTATGAGTATAACGTTGCATCAACCTTCGGTGAAAACCTAGACCTAGGATTCTAGTGATGCGTGCGTCTTTGGGCATCACTCTCTCCTTTCTTGAGAGGGGTCCTATTGAGGTTCTAGAAAAGCTGCCACTTTGGGTCCTTTTCGCGTGGGGGAGGGGGTAAAAACCTATGAACTGCTTATGGCAGTTCAGGCAACGCCGGTAGATGCGTCAATTCGTATCTTCATTTCTTCATTGGAGGCATCGTTCCGGAACGTGCGAATTTGCCATGATTCTAAGAGGGGTGTAGGTCGTGCCTCCATCGAAGACAATTGTTATAAATCTCTTGTGTTGGTCCGTGTGACCGTGTGCATTTTCCGTGCCTTGTCATCGTGTTGTTGCTGAATCCCGTGTGACGTTTTGATAATCTCGCCATTTCAAAAAACAAAAAAAATAGACCAATGAGAACCCTGGAAATTTCCCCCAATTGTACTTGCATGGATGAAGCAGGTAGTAGCTGTGGAAGCATCAAGAGCATTGTAAAATTGAAGCATACCCCTTATTGTGTTTATTAGGATGATCAACATTTGCAGTCAGAAAAATATAGAATATGTAATGTAATTATCACCAACACAAACCGCACCCCCCTCACTTGGTTCGAAAGATCAACCGATCACCCATGCATTCATCCCGAAATCCGCCGAAAACAAGAAGATGATCAAATGCACGTACGCCCACGACGCCACACCACACGACGGATGCAGCCCTTCATCACCACTAGCATAGCAGACAGCTTCTTCCTCCTACGCACGACGTATCACGTATGTATGTACTGTATGTAGCTTCCTTGCTCAAGATTTAGAGTAGGATTGCATTGGGGGAGGCTCGGGCAGGGGCTGGTGGACGGAGAAGGAGTTGGAGCGGGACACGGGCCGGGAGTAGCTGGGCCGGCGGAAGGCGCCGAAGGTCATCTCGTCCGCGGCGTCGGCGGCCGCGTCGGGGTCGGCGGCCTCGGCGTCCCTCTCGCCGGGGATCTTGCACTTGCCGCCGAGGATGATGGACTTCTTCCACAGCGTGTCCTCGGGGTCGTCCTTCTCCTTGTGGCGCGGCTCCAGCTTGCTCAGCTTCATCTTGTCCGGGATGTTGGCGAGGCTCTTGCCCACTTTCATGGACATGCTCTTGCCCACGCCCATGGACATGGACACGGACAGCTTCCGCCGCGACGCCGTCTTCGGCAGCAGCGGCGGCTCGATCGGCCCGTGCGTGGCCAGCTCCGGCGGCAGCGTCACCACCTCCTCCTCCCCTTCCGCGCCGCCCTGGCTCCCGGAGGCGTCGGAGGCCTGGGCGTCCGCGGCGGGCTCCTGGCTGACCGCCTTGGGCTTGCGGCCGCATGCCGAGCACATGGTCGAGGCGATCGCCACGGTGGCCGCGACGCACGCCACCAACAGGGAGAGCGAGACGGGGTCGTGGCCGCCCAGAGAGGGGAAGGGGAAAAGCTCGAGGTCCCGCGGCGGCGGCGGCGACCACCTCACCATCGTCGTCCCCGGCGGGGCGAGGAGAGGCTTGCTCGGGGGTGTGGACGAGCTCCTCCTCCTCCTCCGCCTGAGAGAGGCTGCTGCTCGTCGGAGGCGTCCTCTCTTTCCCGCGGGGAGCAAAGCCTCCCGTTTCCAAATTGGGAAGGAGGGGAAACGGCCGGTTCGGCGTTCGGGCTGTGTGGCCGAGGGATTGTACTGGTTTGCCTCTTAAACCGGGCAAAACTAATTTTAGAGATAAAAACACAACCCAAACATGTTTGAGAAAAATAGGGCTTGCACCGGTGTAATCTATTTTATCAACTTAGCCATAATTATAGGCAAGTACACAACTTACCACACTACTGGAGAAATTGTGGTGGTTACCGAGTTTTTTCATGTTTGCCGAGTACGGATCTCGGCGGGATCGCGGCAAATGATATGTAAGCCGAATACGGATCTCGACAGACAGAATGGCACATCACATGGTAAACTAAATTAGAGTATTAGACACTAGGACCGAGAATGTTGAGTGCCGAGTTAGTCTCGTCACATAGCCTGATTGATGGGAGTGCACGAAATTTATTGGGTCAAGAGTTTATGAATTTACTACTCCATCCGTCCCATAATATAATTAAGAACACTTTTGGCACTAGTATAGTGTTAAAACGTTCTTTTATATTTTGAGACAGAGGGAGTAGTTGAAATTAGGCTTTGTCCTGTCATCCTCAACAGTGATGTATGGCCTCTCTTCCAAAATAATTTTGAGTTTATCCTAACAAACTTGTATTAGTTTGATCAAGTCCATAGAAACATCTAGAACCAAATTAGTACTATGAGATTCCTTTTATTAAATATGTTTTCATCATAGAGTTGGTCGAACCTAAGCAAGTTTGATTTAGAACAAACCTAGAATTTCGATTATTTTGGAACGGAGGGAATATGCGCCTCTTTTGCTCTCTTCGAGTCCGAGGTAGCCAAGTGGAATATCATTATGGCGCTAACAAGGAGCAGTATTAGAAGCTATAAGATTAATCTCTATCGCACGATCCTTCAACCTCTTCTAGCTCCTTTGACAAGGCAAAACGGGCTTCACCTTCAGTTACTGGATTCATAATTATTTTGGTGACATAATTATTTTGGTGCCCACTTGCCAAAACAAGAAATACACGCACAACCTGAGGTGCCGGCTCATTTTCAGATATGTCTTACAACGGATCGGCAAAGAGCATGCACATAATTTGGATTTCCTTCCATTATTTGACGAATATAATAAAAAAAGACAGGCATATCAGCCTATAGAAGTATAGATGGATCATCTACGCGTTGTGATGTGAACTTCAAGCTTCATTCCACCCTCACAGTCTCCAGGTTTGCTGCTGATGGCGTACATCGGGCCTTGGCTACCGAGCTCGAGCTTGTCGTAGCCAGAGGTATATGTATCGTCCCCGACAGCACCGGCCCTGCAGAGGAACTCCTCATCTTTATTCACCACCACCACGTTATGCATCTTGGGATTATACTTGAACACTGCATCAATGGGAAAACGGTCAGTTCCATACACTCCTTATTGCTTAGCATTAAACCAGGGCCTAGTAATTAAAGAACAAGCTTATGGATCTTATAACAAGGGCCTATTGATTAGTATGTCATGTGCTCTAATAATGCATCGTTCGTCTGACAATTTCTCCCGTGACTAAAATTTCAAATTACGCAGTGATCTAGAACAAGATCGATATCTCATGGCTAGGACTCCAGATGCTATGGAGATACAAATTATTTCCATCACGTGAAACGTATATAATATAACATTTCATACTTTGAAACAAACATTCATGTGCATCAGAACTAACGATTATCTACCATACCCACCAAGCACGTCACCAGGGTAGAAGGTCTTGTTCCTCTCCCAGCCATGAACACCAAAGGTCCATCCCTTCCAACCTCCGACTATCCACTCCGTCTTGCTAAAACCACTGGTTGCGAAGCACAGGGTTAGCACCAACCCAAGAGCAACGGCGCCACTGCTGCTCATGCTTCTACCTAGTGCCATTGCCGCTTTTTTCACTACTAAAGCTCACAACTGATTTTGATTTGCGTTGGTGGGGAAGGGAAACCCACCATTTAAAGGCTCCTGGTCAAGGTTCAGTGTCACTCATGCAATATTTGAAATTAACTACTCCATCCGTTCCAAATTACTCGTCGCAGAAATGAATGTATCTAGGTACATCCATATCTGTGACAAGTAATTCGGAACGGAGGGAGTACTAATTAAGAAGTAAAGACATTTACTTCTGATTTGTTCCAAGATACAAGAGCTAGTATATATCTAGGAAAATCTGCATTCAATTTGCTGCGCATTTAATTTTAATATTTCAAGATCATATATACTCCAGTAAATGTGAGTGAGTAATATTTCAAGAGTATAATTTTTAAGATATATACAAAGTAAATGTAAGATATTTTATTATTTCTAGTAAATGCGAGTGAGTAAATTTCATATTCAACCACACCTCTCCTTTTGTGAGGTCCATTTACTATGAGATATGTTTAAAAAAATGTTATTTCGAATTGTTTTCTCTTATTGCATTAGATATATTGAGTAATTCCAAGGGATGGAAAGATTAGGCTATACACCTTCAAAGATAAATTTAATCCTTTTAACAGGCTACACGTATAAATAGTCTCGTATTGTAGTTTGCAACTGTGGTCAAAAGGAAGATCAAGGACGCCTCTCGTTTTCCTCCCCTAACCTTAGGCGGCTAGCGCAAACTCTCCCCACCAAGCTTCACTGGCGAGCCCGTGGATTCGCCTTCCCTCTGTCTGCCACTCCGGTGGCCAATGGCGGGAAGGGAATCCCGGTGCCTCCGCTCCGGTTAGTAGTTTAGGTTAGGTTTTTTTAGTCCTCACATGTGCGACTCTCGGGCGAATGTTGGCGCTTCTTCCTTGAGTTTGTCTTCCAGCCTTCGATCCTCCTCGCGTTCGTCCGGCTAGATGTAGTCGACGAAGCTCGGACGTAGATTCCTGACGTCTCCTTGGGAGACTGGGGTTAGGGTTTCTTGTCATATGATGAGATTTGATGTCAGATGCTTCAGATCTATGCAAGGGTTTAACAACGACGATTGTGGCTCTAGGACGCTTGTCCTTAGGGGCACGTGCACGATGACTTCCCAGTTGTCATCAATAAAATCAAGCCGGCTTTGGTAGGGGAGCGCCGACAAGATTGCGTCAAGTACTCGTTTAGACTGCAATAGTGGTCGTTTGGTGATCTTAGAATCTCGATGTAAACTCATAAAAAAAGATGATAAAACATGATGACTATATCTCGCATTCAGCGAGACGGTAGATATCTTGCTGAAGCGGCTACGGTAATCTGGCCGGCCCATTGGCGCATGTTTAGACTGCAATAATGGTTGTTTGGTGATCTCAGAATCTCGATGTAAACTCATAAAAAAAGATGATAAAACATGATGACTATATCTCGCATTCAGCGAGACGGTAGGATATCTTGCTGAAGCGGCTACGGTAATCTGGCCGGCCCATTGGCGCACAGTTAAAGAAAAAAGCAAGGGAAAGGGGAATATCCTATTTGACGCATTTTGCGTCAAACTGTCGACGCGCCGCACACCCCTTCGCCTGATTTGGGCCGGCCTTTTTAGTACCTGTCCGTTGTTTCCCCGTTCCTCTTCCTCGAGTCACTGTTTCCCCGTTCCTCTTCCTCGTCCCGCATCTCCCGTCTTCTTCCTCCCTCATCCCGCATCCGCCGTGCTCTTCCTCCCTCGTCCCGCATCCCACTTCCTCCCTCTTTGTCTGCTTTTTCCTGCGGGGATCCCGCTCCGATAAGAGGCCGCCGCCCTGGTAAGCAGCCGACGGACCTCTTTCCCGTCGAATCGTCCGAGGCATCGTCGATTAGATCTGGCGGACGTCGTCGTGATGGATGCTTTTTTGCAGGTGGTCACTGCTTCCTCGTCGGCGTCGGCGTCGTCTAGGGTTCCGTCAAGATCGGGTCGTCTAGGGTTCCATCGATCTTCGTCAAGTTTGTCATCTTCAAGGTAATGCCCCCAGTTCCCTCTTCTGTGTTCTTGTCAAGCTGGTTCGTGTCCTCTGTGTGTGATTTCGCCAGATCGAGACGTTTGTTTCCCGTTTGTGTCGGTCCAGCGTTTCTAGGGTTTGTAGGAGGTTTGGTGGTAGCAGTGGAGCGATTTTTTCAGTCTGATTTGGGTGAATATGAGGCTAGACAAGGTCCCTTTGGAGCGATTTTTTCAGTTTGGTTTCCCGGATGTGATTCAGAATTTGGAATCAGGTTATGAATGCAGCATAATGATGGTAGGAGGTTGTCTGTTTCATGCGGTTGCCCTTGGAAATTTTGTGTTTGTGTTTATGTTGATGATGATAGGACACTTGTTAGTTTCTGTAATGTGTAAATTTGTTTGAACATTGTGTGTTCACTCAAATGATTGTTCTTGTACTACATCACATCTAAATTTTATAACATCAATTTTTTTGAACTTTTTGACATGGATGAACATTTTCTGAAATTGAGGATCAAAAAATGTTCGCCAATTTGAAAAAGTGTTCTAGAAAAATTCAGAAAATAAAATAATGTGAATTGTTTAGAAAATTTAGAAAAGCAAGGAAACAGAAGAGGAAGAAAATAAAATTTAGAAAATAAATTTTAGAAAAATTGGGTGTTAGGGCTACATATCCTTCTTGCATTAGAATTAGTCCTTCATCACTTCTGCTTTCTTGGCAATCAGTTGGCATCTTCTGCTTTTTTGTGTATAATGTAACTATGAGTGATACTATGTACTTCTCTTCTGTTTTGCAGAATTAATTTTTGTTTCAGTAGCTTACATTTACATGAACTGTTTTTTTATACCTGAAATTTCAGCACCTTACTTCTTATTATTTTTATACACCTCTCACTCAACTGTCAAAATGCCTAAACTTTACAAATACCCTCCGGGTAGTATCAAACACAGATTCTCTACCATTAGGTGGCGTAAGGCAGTTGCTGATTTAACTGACATCCAGAAGTCATATGTTACGAAATATGAGCTTGATCATCTCCTGAACATTCACCCTCATTTAATGATTCCAATTCCAGTACTGCAATGGGTTGCGAACCACTTAAATTGTAATGGAACAGGAGTTTTCAGGAAGGGTCAAAAGATAATTCATCTGAGAAGGGAAATGGTAATTCAAGTTTTTGGTATTCGTTCTGGTTCCGTGCCTTTTCCTATGGACAACACATATCAAGTTATCGTGGCTAGAGTATTAGAACTTAGGTCTGAGTATCTTGGTGCTGGGGAGAAGAACATTTCATTTGATAACATAATCACCAAGATGAAAAATGATGAGACTGAGGAAGGCTTCATACGGAGCTTCATGTTTCTATTCATAACATCTGTTTTATGTCCAACCACTCGGAACTATGCAAACTGGAAACTTCTTTATGGGCTGGATGGCATTACCAAGCTGAAGACCTTTGATTTGGCTCAGTTGTGCATTGATCACCTGAACAATGAAATTGATAACTTCAGCACTAAACTCTTCAATAGAACTGAAGTTCCATTGAATGATTCAATCTATGTTGGTGGATGTTTACCGTTGGCTGCTGTAAGTTTTCTTTTCTCTGTCATTTTCAATTTTTTACATAGACTTTAGTTCTGCAATCTTTTTTTATAGTCACTGATTACCTCTTATATCTTCTCTTATGATTGACAACCTTCCTAGATTGTGTATCTGGACTTTGTAGACTTCACAAAAGCTTCTAAACAACGAAACATCAATTATGGAGTCCCTAGAATTGCACATGTTCAGAATGAAGACTTTGACTATCTAGCTATAGTGGATCTGAACAGAGCTTCCAAGAAGAGTTTTGCATTGGGTTTCTTACCAGTAAGCTTCTTGTATAAATTTGTTGTTGTTCATTTTTCAAGTTAGCAAAAAGTTTTTTCTTCTACAAGCAATCTAGAAGGAGCAAATCTTGTCATTTATAATCCTTTTCAATTGCAATTTTTTGTGCAGTTGAAAGACATCTCTAGGACACCTTACAGTGCTCGTGCAATTGTATTGGCTGAGGAGAAGTGGTCCAAAGCGCCAGAGTCTTCTCATAATGATGAAAATGACATTCCAAACCAAAATGACAGAGAAAATGTTGCATCTACTTCGAACAACAATCCAGAAGTATGTTGGCCTGCTTTTTTTATTTTCTTAATAGATATTAGTGTTGTCACTTTACTTTCATACCAGAAACTAATACACATATATCTATTCTGTTTGCTCAAACTAATAGGTTATGAAGACAGTCTCTGAAATAGTTGCAAAACATGATGTCATTTGGAAGAAGTTCCATGAAGAGCATGTATAGAGTATGCTAGCAGAACTCAAAGCAACTGTCCTGTCTTTACAGCAAAATTCTAGCAGCCAAGTCAATGATGCTGGCACTTCAACCACGAATCCAATTGTTCTTCTATCTGGAGCCAGCAACAGAAATGTTCTTAGAGAACCATTAAATCCTGGCAATCGCACACTCCAAGTTAACAGTGAGGCAATTACAGGTTCTTTATTTGACGACCATATCAGAGTCATTCCTACTCCAGTTGTTACCAATGATAACCAAGTTCAAATTTCCGATGAAGTTCAAAAGCAAGTGTCATTACCTCAGCAATTCCAGGAAAATGAGCAAGCACAAATAGGTGTGGACAATGATATTCATTCTGATAACACATTTTGTCAACATTTTTTCTTTTACTCAAACTAGTCATAGCACTCAATTTGTTGTTCATGAGGCAGTTTTATTAGTACTCAGTTTCCTGTTCCTGACATCACTATTATGGTAAATACATTCATTCTGTAAACACATTCTGACATCACTATTTTTTGCCATTTTCAGGTACCGTTTCTGAGGCAGTTCATACTAAATCAACTGGATTCCTGGAACCACTGGATTCTGTTCATCCTACAAGTGTTACTGAAGCAAATCAGATAGATTCTCAAAATGTCAACTCTGTGACAGTAAATCTGCAGGAAACTCCTCTTACTGGAAAC